TACTTTTTCAATCAAAAAATAAACTTATTGGAACCCCTCGGGCATTGACTTTTATTATTGACTTCTAATCAACTTTCTCGTTTAGGTGAGCAGGTGTCACGAAATGAAGTTATACAAAGGGAAAGTTTTACAGTAGCAGATTGTCCAGCCAGTACTGATTGTGTCAGGTATTTGTAATTTGGACTATGTTCCATTGTTCCTTCCTTTCCCTATTGTGGTCTATAACTTTGAGTCAGTTTCAGATTGGAATGGTGGACGAATGAAATAAAGGCGTTGAATTTATTCTGTGATCCGACGGTTGACGCTTTTGGAAACCCGAAATTTGTTTGCAAGGTGAATACCGTTCCGTCAAAATTTTTTTTTTCAAATTTCCATCGCACTGTTCCCTTGATTGCTGTGCTCTCAGTGGTTCTTTTTAACTCAAGTGAATACGGAGAGAGATATAGAATTATAGAAATTGACCAGTGCATACAGCCTTACCGATCAAGGGGTTCTTCTATCCTTCTTTTTACCGGGTTAGCTTCGTTTTGACCTTCAGCGAATGGCCAAAGCTTTTATCATTTGCCTACCAAGAAAGTCCAAAAAAATCGCCAATATCGGTGTGAAATCAAAAAAAAAACGAGGCTTCGAGTAAGAGGTTATAAAGGTTGGGACTGGAATGAAGTTCCAGGCCTGCTGCAACGCAAACTTTTCAATCGATGGTAATTTGGTCTCTCATTTTCGAGCTCTTCCCAGATTAGTCTTCATAGAGCAAATTGACCAAAATGGACTTATCTGGCCAATCTACTTTATTTTTTTCTCCTGTAAGCAAACTTCAGAAGCATCATGCCTGGATCGTTGATTAACTGAGAAATTTAGACTGTGCCCAATATTAGAAGCATAGGGAAACGTTTTCCGAGTTGTCCATACAGGGGATTTGTTTATACTGCCTTGAATTTTGTGTAAGTGGCCCGTACCACTCGCACGTAAACATCCTTCCCTCAGCACCTCTACAGTAATGAGTTACNNNNACCCTACGGTCATCACATTCTTCCCTCTAATCCTAGGCTTCACATCGAGTCTCCTTCCTGTGAGTCGACAGCTAGCAGACGACGTTCGACCGTGTTATCAGACACTTAGAACCCTTTTTGAGATGTCCCAGTTTAAACGTCGAGTGTTATACCTAATGCCATGGGGTTCTTTCAGTTTACGATCCATAACGTTGCTTAATAATCTTGGATTATTTTTTGAAAATTTATCAGAAAATGGAAAAAAAATCATATCGATTTTCTCCATCGTTTTTCTAAAAGTTTCCAGTATGCTTTTAACCCCGTTAGTATTTTGCTAGAATTCCGGAATATGTGTTTAGTGAATGGCGTATCGCCATGCACCGCTACTTTCGTGTCATAAAATTTAATGATACTGGGGCGTCATCAGTGTCAAAGAGGTTTCAAATTTGACATAAATGTGCATTTGAATGAGAATTCCAAAAAGTTTAGTGAAACTTGTCTTTTGTTTTTTTTTCGAATTATGAAAGGTAAGGCAAAAAACTACGTTCTGTTTTGAAGATTGAAGATTTTTGCTGTCAGATATCCTTCTTGATCTCAGGATTTGTAAGATAAGCCATCAAACTGGGTCAGCGAAAAATTTCCAGAAAAGTACATCGAGTATGGAGTAGACGTATGATAGATTGTGTATGCCAACCAGTAATTTTCAACCAGTGAAACTAGGGTGTTGTGAGAGATAAGCCAATTGGAAGGAATGAGGTATTTGAACGGCATTGTAGTCGTTACGATTGCGCAGACAGCTGGTTACAAAGGTCAAAAATTCACAAAATTTCCTTCCACTGTCACGACAATTTGCCTGAAAATTCCAAGAAGTGTGCTCCATTGTGAGTAGTGTAATCTCGACGAGGCCGTCAGAACTCGTCCACCTTTGGGTGTGGAGTCGACGAAGCCAGTTTTTAAGCTTCTATTATGCAATAACTTGGCCGTTTTTTTTTTTGAAACGACAGAGATTCATAGAGTACTTGGAGGCAAGAGGTTCCCGGTTGGAATACTCTGGAACCATTTCTATCTAGAACTATGCATTTCAATAATTTACTTCGCAATTGATTTGTGTGTGTTAGGTAGCTGTTGGCTTGAGCCTTTCCAGCTTTCAAACTTTTTTTGGGCTAACTTTTTGGGCCTGTTCGCCTCCGTGGTAAGCCACGTAGCACTCTTTTAACAATCGGGCTCGGGGTTCAACGGTTCAAGGACATGTTCAGGGCATTTGTGTGGTCTTATTTGAGGACCGATCTCCGGTGGCTCTTCGGCTAAGGCGAAGACTTAAGAAGGCTATAGCTAGCATACACAATTCAAAACTCATGCTATTATAATATCAGGAAAAAGTCAATAATGTTCTATTTTGCAATTATTTTGGAAATTCACGGCGTGATCGTGATTGAATTTTCGGGTTCTTCACAGATCACTTTTATTCGTGTAACCATGTTTGAACTTTTACTGGGTTTACAAGCTTTGTGATGGGAAAGGACGATAAATAGATGAGTTATGTATATAAATCGTGACTTAATCTGCGATTTTTGTATATTCACAGTGAAAGAAGTTATTATGGTCTGGTTATGCTGATTTCTTTCTATAAGTGAAAATTTGAGCTTGTTCTTTTGCATATCCCTCTAAAAGTAATACTGTGAATGAGAAAACGGAGAAAGGCTGTTTGGCTCACTCATTCATTCTGAAATAGCCTCGCTGTTCGTTTGAAATATATGACCAATTTCGCTTCATAGGAAACAATTACCAGTTTTCTGGTCTTGATTGACGCTCAGTTCATTCTATTCAAACAGATTCGAGGTGCATACTTCCGGTTCATAAGTTGAAAACCTCTAGGTACTTCGTTCTGATTACCTTTTCCTCTGAAAATATGGAATCCCATTATTGCTATGCTTACTAGAAGCCAATAATTTTTTTCTTCAAGTTAAATGTTTTTCAGAGTGACGTCTTCATCCCCGTGGGACTGAATAATGTGGAGTGGAAGTACAGATGCTGCAGTTCCGATTACTGTAATCTTTCAAGCAGTGGTAACAGCTTGTCTGGATACTTTTTGCTCTTGCTGTTACTTATGGTACTGTACGAATTTGGAAAGTAATTTCAATAAAGATTTTAAAACCGTTTGAATATCTCTTTGTTAATGTTTGTTTAGCATTACTGCTACCTGTATTGTCTGATTTGACCACCTAAAACAAATTGTTGCAGGGCCTGAATGAACAGTCGGTAATATTCAGGTGACCTCCAAAAAAGCCTTCCGAAATAACGGTAAAATTGCAAAAGTAGGAGCAGAAGAGTGCGTAGGTAGCCCAGAAAGCGAGAAAATCTGAGAATCCGTGTGTTAAGGTTACCAAAAGTGATGATTTAGGGGTTGTAAAAGATTGTTAATACGGAAATGGCATAAAAGAAGCATTTGGACGAGATCGCAGTTGTTGTGCTTGCGTGAAGTGTTGGCTAAATTGAGTAGAAATTGTTTTGCAAAGTCGTCATGGATCGGGTCATGACTAGTTGTTCGTGCTGCTCCGTTGTGAACTTGCAACCTCTACAACGCCGTTAAAACTCGTCCGCCCTAGGGTGTGGACGTCGGCGAAGTCGGTTTTTGAATCCTCTCTGTGCTCTATCAAGCCCATTTTTGATCCAACATTACCCCATGTGGCGTACTTGGAGAACGCAGGTTCGTTTTATTTGGAAATCTTGTCAATCACAATTTTCGTGATGTGTGCTTTTGAATAGCACGATGTTTTTTCTACGATATGCGAAATTTGCAAAATGTGGGGCAGATTCGTGTCGGTAACTATGGCTAACGAAGAAGTCTTTGGAGGCTTCCGCTTTCTGCCGCAGGTAGCCTTTGCCTTTCCTGACTGTGCTCATTTTTCCGGTCGAAGTCTCGTTTTCCTCACGACGCCACAGATACCACTGATGCTCTTGTAAATGTCTAATGAGAGCTTGGGTCTTAAGCCATTATAAGTAATTGTTGGAATATTAATGAGTATTAAAATCCTATCCGAATATTAAAATCACGTTTGGCACGAAGATCTCGTATCTAGGCTCGCTGAATAGCAGCAAATGGCCCCAAGGCGCAGATCGCGGTAAGAATGATTGCCGAAACTTCTATGGAATACCAACCTGTGGCCACCATGTATGCCATATGAGGCGCTGTCTGGTAGAAAGACAGCCGTGTGACCCTTCGCCACACAGTGGAAGCCGAATTTGGGGCATTTTTGACTTACTGTAGCCATCTCTTTACGTAATTGCACCCAATTTTCGTCTGGAACTTCGTTCAAAAAAATTACCTCTCACAACACTTCCTTAGTCGTAATCTCATCAACACCCTATCAATACTAGTTTGAAGAAGCTTTATGTATTGCGAAATCTGCGGATCCCCACCCACTGATGCGCTTCCTCCGCCGATATTCTCCTTTTTAATACGGAAAGGGTGCCTCAAATTGATTGAAACTTTACCTTTAACCCAAATTAAACTTCAGCTTGAAGATCTAAACATGAAAAGTTTAGAAATGG